AAGAAATCCCATACAATCTTTCAACCCTTATTTCACCTCCTCACTGGTCGAAATTTCAAAAACGCTTGAACAAATGTTTAAATGTATCTTATCAAGTGCTTAAATAAAAATCTTCATGGTTATATCTTTTAAAATTAAGAAATTCCATACAAACTTTCAACCCTTATTTCACCCCCTCACTGGTCGAAATTTCAAAAACGCTAGAACAAATGTTTAAATATATCTTATACAATGCCTTAATATAAAGTTTCATGGTTTTATCTTTTAAAATTAAGAAATCCCATACAAACTTTTAACCTCTTCATCCCCTTTTCGCAATAAAGGGTAGCCTATGTTATTTCTCAGGGTCTAAAGATTGTCTAAATCTAAAGAAATTTCATCAAAATCGGTTGAGAGGTCAAAGCGGGAAAGCGTAACAGACAGACAGACAGACAGAGTTACTTTCGCATTTATAATATTAGTTGTGATTGACTCCCCCCTCGTACCCCAGTGACGCTTACATGGAGCCTACATCGCATGCTGGCTAGCTGAGCGTGGTGAGCGGCAACCACGCGACTTTTTTCTAATACTTGCATTTTTAAACTCGTAATATCTTCCGAATGAAATGTCCGAATTGAATAATTCAAAGAGTTCTAAAAAGGTATTGAAGCCGTCTTGAATATAAAGCAATTTATTTTGATAAGGATTAATACCAAGGTACAAATAAAGAGCCTTTTCAAGCGGCGGCATATAAATTAAATTTTTAGAATAAAAAACCGCTTATTGTGACATAACTATAATATTTACACATATGCTGTCGCGACACTTTTTGTAGATGATGATGAGTTCTGCAAAGTCGTAGTAAATGATTTGGTTCTATCATCAATAGTTTTCGCAGCGCACGCGACGTAAGGAATTTTTCAGATCATTTTTTTACACCTTGGGTTACATTATTGGAGTTTTAGTAAGGATCCCTAATTTTTATTTAAATATAATATAGCTTACATTACTTGGGAATAATGTAGCTTCCCAAAGGTGAAAGAATTTTTGAAATCGGTTTAGTAGTTTCGGAGCCTATTCATAACAAATAAACAAACAAATCTTTCCTCTTTATTAATATAGATATACATAGCTTATATTACTCGGGAATAATGTAGCTTTCCAAAGGTGAAAGAATTTTTGAAATCGGTTTAATAGTTTCGGAGCCTATTCATAACAAATAAACAAACAAATCTTTCCTCTTTATTAATATAGATATAGCTTATATTACTCGGGAATAATGTAGCTTTCCAAAGGTGAAAGAATTTTTGAAATCGGTTTAGTAGTTTCGGAGCCTATTCATAACAAATAAACAAACAAATCTTTCCTCTTTATTAATATAGATATAGCCTTTATTACTCGGGAATAATGTAGCTTTCCAAAGGTGAAAGAATTTTTGAAATCGGTTTAGTAGTTTCGGAGCCTATTCATAACAAATAAACAAACAAATCTTTCCTCTTTATTAATATAGATATACATAGCTTATATTACTCGGGAATAATGTAGCTTTCCAAAGGTGAAAGAATTTTTGAAATCGGTTTAATAGTTTCGGAGCCTATTCATAACAAATAAACAAACAAATCTTTCCTCTTTATTAATATAGATATAGCTTATATTACTCGGGAATAATGTAGCTTTCCAAAGGTGAAAGAATTTTGAAATCGGTTTAGTAGTTTCGGAGCCTATTCATAACAAATAAACAAACAAATCTTTCCTCTTTATTAATATAGATATAGCCTTTATTACTCGGGAATAATGTAGCTTTCCAAAGGTGAAAGAATTTTTGAAATCGGTTTAGTAGTTTCGGAGCCTATTCATAACAAATAAACAAACAAATCTTTCCTCTTTATTAATATAGATATACATAGCTTATATTACTCGGGAATAATGTAGCTTTCCAAAGGTGAAAGAATTTTTGAAATCGGTTTAATAGTTTCGGAGCCTATTCATAACAAATAAACAAACAAATCTTTCCTCTTTATTAATATAGATATAGCTTATATTACTCGGGAATAATGTAGCTTTCCAAAGGTGAAAGAATTTTTGAAATCGGTTTAGTAGTTTCGGAGCCTATTCATAACAAATAAACAAACAAATCTTTCCTCTTTATTAATATAGATATAGCCTTTATTACTCGGGAATAATGTAGCTTTCCAAAGGTGAAAGAATTTTTGAAATCGGTTTAGTAGTTTCGGAGCCTATTCATAACAAATAAACAAACAAATCTTTCCTCTTTATTAATATAGATTAGACATACAGTCTAATGTATCAAATAAATGTAAATATTGGAATAATAAATTAATTATCTGAGTTTTTTAGGGATTTATTATAAATAACGACAATAAGTATATTACTACGCTTTATTTCATTATTTTTAAAATAACTTTCTCTCGACGTTTCGGTTACTTTGCAGGAACTGTGATCACAGGCAGACGTGAGGAGGACCTCTAAAATTATAAAATAATGCGTAGTAATCCGAAAATAGTAGTCTTAATTAAATAAATACTTGCGAATTTCTTAGATCTTGTTATATTTTATTTTTAGTTCGTCTGACCTTGGTGGATTCAATGGTAGAATTATGGGAGTTATCACGTGATCAGTGGGTACTGAGATGGCCGGGGCAGGTTGTGATTGCGGGATCACTAACAGCTTGGACGGCGGGAGTTGAACAAGCTATATCAGAATACAGAATGGATGAATACTTTGAAGAGATGCTCAAACAGGTAACGTATTAAAGAGATCTTAATATTGTGTTACCGATTCATTCTAAGAAAAACTAAGTTTTTTCTATAAAAAGAAATATAATGACATAATATACATAGACTTTATACTGAAATAATAAGCAAAAATTTTCAACAGTTGGATAGTCTTCGTGCCCTAGTTAAAGGTGAAATGACTTTCTTCCAATGCGAAGTTTTATGTGCCCTAATAGTTATCGAAGTGCATGCTCGTGATGTTACAAAGACACTAGTTGATGAAAGTGTCAAGAATGTTACCGAATTCCAATAGATATGTCAGTGGAGGTAATGTTGAGTTTTTGGTTATAAAAAGATATATAGAATGATAGTTTGATGTAGCTTTATCGGACTTCATAAGGCTTTTCTACTAATTTAAATATATTTATTATTCATTTAGTTGGACTTTATATACAATATGATCGATTGCAATTGAAAAGAATTTATTTAATCTTTTGACAGTTTCTAGTTTCATAATAATTGATTACGAACCAAATATTTTTTTTACAAACATTCAGTAAAATGCAATTGCAACAACTTTATTAATTTTATCTGGGAAATAGAATTGATATTAGAATCTTTGTTAGAAATTAAAATAGAGTTTATTTCCATTCAGGTATTATCAAATCGTAAAAGGAATGATACCGCTTGAGGAAGGTGAATTACCGGAGATATATCAAGACGAGGAAAGATAAGACACTTCATTGTACTATCGTCAGTTCAGTCAGAATAAATGTGACGTTCGCGCACTGAATTCTATCTTCACTTATCAAAACGAGTACTTGGGAAATAGTTAACTCATTTATGCTATAGATTTCTTTTCAATTATTACCTACCCTTAACATTTAACGGTCAAGATAAACCATTTATTACGTGTCAGGGTTAACAATAAGTTTGTCTCGACTGCCTATGTTCATGCGATCCTATGCTCCTACGATGACACATATACAGGTGACTGGTGAATTACTATCGATATTTGAGGACGTGATATTTGACGATCATATATGACAAAATAAAAATTAATATAACATAAATATTTATAAACTTCTAAGTAAAGTTAACCAAAAGTTATGTAATTAATTACGCATCGTATGAACACCCTACAGATTAGGTATACACACACACTCACACATACGCGCGCGGAGGCGTGTTGTTGTATCAGCACGCCGCCGCACGCGTCCACACTAGGAACACTTGGTACGTGTACACACTTTATTTATTTATACGGAAATTTGGTCAAAAATTAAGTACCTATTTTTTTACATAATTCAAATGAGAATCATGTACCGAGTATGCTCCTTAAATATTGATAGTAATTCACCAGTCACCCTGTATATGTGTTTTTTTTCAGCGGTCGTCTGGTCATCACGCCGCTAACTGATAGATGTTATTTGACATTGATGTGCGCAATGCATCTCAAATTCGGTGGTGCACCGGCAGGTCCCGCTGCTACTGGAAAAACTGACACAACTAAGGTAACTTTTATTCTAAACTTTTCTTTGTATGAGAACAAAAAAAAAATATTGTTCAAGTTATAAATAGCTAAGTATAATTATATATGGTTAACACTAGTCTTCTATTCATTATGTGGAGTTTGTTTATTTCCAGGATTTAGTCAAAGCACTGGCTGTTCAATGTGTGGTATTCAATTGTTCAGATCAGCTTGATTATATGGCTACGGGAAAGTTTTTCAAAGGACTAGCAGCGTAAATATATATTTACTAATAGGGTATAGTCGCCAAATTTCGTCCCCAAGCCTATTTTCGTCCCCATTGGTTTCTTTTTTTCTAAGTAACATCATCTAGTTTTAATAGTTGAAATCTAAAGTTACTTACGTCAGTCGGCCTTTGTAAAACTTTGGCGGTGGAATATAGCTCCTGTCTGGAGATATTTAAAAAAAGAAAAAACTGTTCAAGGTGAGTTTTTGAATGAATTATTATTTGTAATGTCTAAATATAGATCTGTTTGACTTATTAAAACGAAATATTTGTCAAAAAGTGTTCTTAACGCTTAGATTTAAATCGATTATAATTTTATTTAGATTATGACATGTGTTTGTTGGTTAATGGAGGTTAACAATAAAATTGGCAAATTCCTAATATCGTCCCCTATCGTGAGCCTAATACCGTCCCGGGGACGATATTTAGATCACTTCGTCATTCACTGTCGTGCACTTTTTGTGACTATTTTTATATTTATTTATTTAATTTGTAGATGCCAAAGAGAAGGTAATGGGATCCTGAAGCAATGAAACAAGCTATTGAAGCTGCACGAACTAAAAAGGCAGTTAAATTATTTAATGTGCCAAGAACTACTTTGAAAGATTATGTAAAAAAGTCTGACAAGCCTACAGAAGATATAGTTTCTGGAAAAATGGGAAGAAAACCAGTTTTGTCACCTGCATTAGAAGAAGAGTTGGTGAACTATTGCTTGCAAATGGAAAATAATTACTATGGTGTGACCGCTTCTGATTTAAGACGAATGGCTTTTCAATTGGCTATCAGAAAAAATATTCCACGCCCATTATCACGAACCAAAAATAAAGCAGATAAGAATTGGATGAAGTTATTTATGGCTCATCATCCTAACTTGTCTTTTCGCAAACCAGAATTTCTATCACGAGCTCGCAAACAAGGTTTTACTGCAGAAAATGTTAAATCCTTTTTTGACATATTAAAACCTGGATTAAAAAAGATTAATTTCAACCTCAATAAAATATTTAATGTAGACGAAACAGGGATCACAACGGTTCAGCATAAAGTGAGAAAAATCCTTACGAGGAAAGGCAAGAAAGCAATTCACAAATTATCGTCTACTGACCCAATTTTAGTTTCTACTGATGAAGAAAATAGTGACGATAATGACGCTGAATGCCCAGTTTGTCATAAAAGTTTTTCATAAGATAAAAAGGGAGAGAAATGGATAAGGTGCACAAAATGTTTCTAATGGATGCATGAGAATTGCGTTGATAATCCAAGAGCTAATTTTATTTGTGCGATTTGTTTTGAGACTTAAAATTACTTAAACTAAACCAAGTATTAATAAAATTCTGATTAGATTATTATAATAATAATGATTACGAATAATAACTGTTAGAAATACAAATTAAATTTACGTACCGATTATTGTGATCTCAATATCGTCCCCGGGACGTAATTAGGAGCCCAAAAAAAAAAGATGTTATATTATAAATTTTTGTAAAAGCTGTTTTTGTAGGAAAAGTAAATAGTTTATTTAGTTATTGATTATGTCAAATAATAAAGCAATGTTTACTTAAGTTTGATGTTTTATTTATTAATCTACTCCTTATATATTTTTTATATTTTCTATTTTTCAAAAAGGGGACGAAATTTGGTGACTATATCCTACATTTAAACTTGTGTTGAATTAAATAATTACTATGAAAATATTACAGATCCGGTGCCTGGGCTTGTTTCGATGAGTTTAATAGAATTGACATTGAAGTGCTATCTGTCGTCGCTCAACAAGTACCTATATATATTTATATAATAAGATTAAGACTTTCCCGTGTATTCATTACAAAGACACTAAAATATTTGGATTACTACGCCTTATTTTATTATTTTTAATAACTATGTACTATACCATAGTATATTTTGCAGCAAAGTAACCGAATCTTCGGGAGTAGGTATGTAATTTTAAAAATAATAAAAGACGCGTAGTAATCCGAAAACATTAATTCATTTAAACAATTATATAATTTTGAAATAGTGGATTTCATTTATGTACCACTCACTCACTTCAACTTCCATAAACCATATTTCCTGTTCACTTTATCAAAACGTAAATTTCATTTGAAAGGTTGACGATACAAAAGGCGCAAATAGCTCGTCAGGAAAAAATTATTTTCGAAGGCTGTGCTTCCCTTAAAAGCTTCCTGTTCAGTTTTTATTACTATGAACCCTGGATATGCGGGTAAGTTTATTAAAATTAACAAATAAGATAAAGAGGCGTCATACTAGTAATATTAAAATTATAACCATTCGATATATTTCTCTTTCTAAACAGGCAGAAAGGAGTTACCAGGTAGTCTGAAAGCATTGTTCCGTCCTATTGCAATTATGGTGCCCGACTACGCTCTTATAGCAGAAATTTCTTTATTTTCATATGGTTTCTACGACGCCAAGATTCTGATAGGAAAAATTACTACACGTTTAGATTGAGCTCTGAACAATTGTCTTCTCAGGTAAGACTTAATTTTATTTATGTGGATATAACTAAAACGTTTTCCATATACATAATTTAAGTTAATCAACAATAAAACTTTAAATTATTGCTTATTTTTCGTGTACTTAACTGCATAACAGTTTAGTTTGTTATTTAGTGTGTAAGACTTATAATTAAATGACTAACAGTTACAAGCAGGGCCGGGTTATGCCTGTCGGGGCCCCTAGGCAATGCTCATCCAGGGCCCCCTACCCTCTTCTAATTTTTTCGTTAACACAACAAAATTCAAAATTACTCCGTTTTTTACTAACCTGGGTATATCATCATATTATTCAATAAAAATGTTGAATCAAATGAACAGAATGTTTATTTATGCATTTAAAAAAAAACATACATAGCTTAAATATTAACTCTTCTAACTTTTTTTGATACAAAATCGTTCAAGTTATCCTGAAAGGTAATCTTCTCCAACACGTCATTTTCAATTGCCATTATAGCCAATGAATTTAACCTTATGAAAGTAGCTTGGCCATAGAATATACATACTTGGTAGGTACCAGTATAGTAAGTGTGCATTCACAACAAAGAGTTTTGAGCGTTTTTAATTAAATTCATCATCAGCCTATCCGACGCCCACCGCTGAGCAAAGGCCTCTTTCTCACATGGAGAAGGTTTGAGCATTAATCACCACGCTTGCTCAAGACGGGTTGGTGATTTCAAACTTATAATTGTGAAACTATAAGTCCAGGTTTCCTCACGATGTTTTCCTTCACCGTATGTCAGTGATGTGTAAATACTCTCAGAAAGTAATTATGACTCCGAAAAATCACATTGGTACTTGCACATTGGTACTTGCCAGGTTTGAACCCGCGCCCTCTGTAACGAGAGGTGAGCCCCTTAACCACTAGGCCACCACTGACTTAAATTACCGCGATAAAATTGCTTGCAATTATATTACTGCGTTATAAACTTTTAAACTATAATAATAATCATAATTCATAATAATAATATCTAATAAGGAATGCGTTCCGAAATGTACTAAAATAGCGTCGATGTAATGTACAGAGCAAATTTTAAAATTAATTTTTTACTGTTTAAGAAACATTGCCCATTCTTTTCCCTGTAGCACAGGGGCCCCTGCACGTGGCAGGGCCCCTAGGCAGTTGCCTATAATGCCTAATGGATAAAACGGCCCTGGTTACAAGTAGTGACATCTATGTTTTTGATTTGGAAGTAAAATGATTTTGAAGAGTATTTTATATCAGGATATTTAAAAAAAGTAATGTCGTCTTAAATTATAGCACCTTTAAAAATTAAGAAAATTAAAATATTTTCTTAACAACTTAATAAAGTATATTTAATTGTTATGGTTATCTAATACAGAAATCATTGCCTTTATTTTCTAAGGAGCTAATGTCAAACGTCAAATGAGAGAAGTATCTGTTTTTGAACTTTAACGGCTAACGGCATACCTCTGTAAAGTCGTTTTAAATTGTTTTATTATATTTTGTTACATATATCTTATTGTGAATTTATCAAGATGGATAACAGTGACGACATTCGTGACGAGGATTTTATCCCGTTTCTTCATGGAATAGGTGTAGAGACGTATAAGAAGTCTTTTGAATGGATGTTAAATGATCCAGATTTCTCTGGCGTTTTGCAGTGGATTTATAACAATTTGGATCATAATAATGCATTAACTGCTAGAGAAGAGTGCAGGTTAAGTATTTCAGATAACGCAAAACTCTAAAAGTTGACTTAGTAGAAATGACACGAAATATTGTATTGTGTTACAAGACGTAGTTTTGACATTTATAATTGTACCAAAACAAATAGCTAGTCATATATAATTTAAACATTTTAATCTTAATCATTAACAGACATGCAGAGTTAGAAAAGAAAGGAAAATTATTGTCACCTGAAAACTTATAAACACAAATCCAATCAATACAAGATGATTTCGAAGGTTTAGTCCTAGCTGGGGTTTAGATTCTTTAGAGGACGTTAAACATGAAGAAATGCTTAATGAAATGATCACTCAAGAAGAGTAAGTCATTATCATCAACTGTATACATTTTAATGATATTAAACATAGTGAAAGCATTTAAATTGTTGTTTAATTTAAAATTAATTATTAAAAACACATAATCAATATTTATACATTTTTAGGTCTACTAAAGAGGTCCTTACACAAGATATTGCTAGTTTAGAAACAGTACAAAAACAATGTAATCAGGATGTCACTACAGCTAGTGAGCAATGCTTGCAATTGGCTGAAGAAGTTGAAAACATTACCAGTAGTGTAATGAACAATATTGCAGAGGTTTTAAATGTTTATGACTCCAGCATCAATGATAAAGTACGTTTATTGCTATTAATGAATATTTGCAATAGTATTCTTAGGTAATCATTAGTAAAAAAATAATTAGAATAACTATTTAGGTGACCATATAAGTATAGCTTATATTTAAAAGCATACATTAAGTATCTTTGTAAGTTAAGACTTGGTAATTCTTAGTTAGATGTCCAAAAGTTTTGGCCTACTTTATTTTATTAACTATCACTTAAATTTATTAATAATTCTTTTACATGACAGTGATTTTTTTCTATTTTACAAGTTTATTATGTCTTCATACATAAATACATTTATGTTGTTACACTTAACTTGTGTAAAAGTCATAATTATGTTAGGGGCCGTTCAAGTATTACGTAAGCAGATTTATTACAATTATTTATCCCCCCGTTTTTTTTTAATATAAATCTATAAAAAAAATTATAATTATTTTCCAGTTTCTTTCGTCCCAGTTTTTTTCGTCAATTAAATAAAAACAATTAGCAAAATATTGATCAATTTCAGTGCTAATAAAACTATAGCATTAAAAAAATTGTTTGCAAACTTCTCTACTTAGATACTTGGTTTTCAATTAAAAACAAAGTGACGATTTTTACACAACATTAATTAAAGCACACAGTAACATTTCCTAGAACATTCAAGTTTAGCGTATCAAACATAGACAATGTCGCATGTATACACTAGTTCATATACTAAGTAGTTTAATTCATGTAGGGTTGTAGCGACCACATGAGCCCCTACCAGTTCGCTACGATGGTGTGCCCCAAGTACAAGGAGCGTGTGAGGAGACTCTCCGGTCTGGGGATGCAGATATCACCTGCACTAGGTGAATATATGTATACTATTATACTATTATTATATTAATTTACGATTTCGTTGTCTTTGTTTTTTTCGATATGGTAACACTGGTTTGTATGTTGCTTAATATGTGTAACCATTAATAAGTGTAGAAATTATTCATATTTGTAAATAAGCATTTCTTTTTCTAAAACTGTCAAATTTCTTAGAATAGAGACATGAAAACTACAAACATTACAAATTATACGCAAAAAATTATTTTTCCCTACCAAGTGATCCTTTCAATGTAAATCCTAACACAGTGCAATCCATCTTCGGCTAGATCACGACTTCAGAGTTTTAATAACATTTTAAATTCAATCCATATAATTATTGTATATCGTACACACACTGTATAATAACTTCGTATGATATTGGCATAATATTCCACAACTACAGTGCAAATGCAGCCATAGCTTAAAAAAAACTCTGTATATATTTATATTAATATATGTTCTATAGGAATTCGGTTCGGATCTAACTCCTTTATCCGAGTTAGTGTTCACTCTGCCTCTCTTGA